TGTACTATCCAAAATGCTGAAAAGCCAAAAAATGCTCCTTTCAGATTCCAAAACATGTGGACTCTTCACACTCATTTTTGTTGAAGAAGTTTATAAGGTTTGGAGGGCTAAAGGGAACTCTAACCCCTGGGTAAAACTGTGGATCCTTCAGAAAAAAGTGGCTGCTCATCTCAAGAAGTGGAATTGGGAAACATTTGACAATATTAATGAGAACTTGACCACTGCCCAAAGTAATGTTATCAGAATGGAAAAGAATTTCCAAATGGGCTTGAATTTTGAAGTTGATCTGCACAAAGCCAGTGAAGAACTGTTAATACACACCAATTATACTGAATGTTTTCTGAAACAAAAAGCAGCAGTCACCAGATTTATTGATGGAGACAGAAACACAAGTTATTATCATGCTTGTATTAATTTCAGAAGGAAGAATAACATGATCTTATCCATACATGATACTAATGGTAAGGTAGTAACTAATGTTGAGGACATTGCCATTGATGCTGTTACTTATTTTCAGAATATCTTTATGGATCAGTCTACTGAGAGAGCTTCTATCAAGGTGAAACTTTTCTCTAAGTGCATTGATTATGTTCAAAGCTTGGACCTTATTCAGATTCCTATGGAAGGGGAAATTAAAGCTGCATTGAACTCTATTGATGACCATAAGGTGGCTGGCCCTGATGGTTTTACTGCCAAATTATATAAGACTACTTGGAATATCATCAGTGGGGATGTTGTTGATGCTGTGCAAAGCTTCTTTAAAGGTATTGATCCCCCTAAGTATTTCACTGCTTCCACTATAACTTTGATTCCAAAAACTTCTAGCAGGATTGGGTGGGGAGATTTCAGACCTATCAGTCTAACAAATGTCTGGTCTAAATTTATCAGCAAGGTTATTAACAACAGGCTCCAACCTCACCTCCAGCAACTTATCTGTAATAACCAGGTAGCATTTGTTAAAGGGAGACAAATCTCTGATAATATTCTCTTGGTACAGGAGTTGTTGTTGGACCTTGACAGAAAGTGTAGAGGCAGCAATCTCATTCTAAAATTGGATATCCAGAAATCTTATGATACTATCAATTGGAGTTTTATCTTGGACACTTTAAATGCTAGTGGTTTTTTTGGGGCCTTTATAATTTTGGTAAGAAGGTGGCTTTGTATTAACAATCACTTTATCTTAATCAATGGTAAAAGCCATGGGTTCTTCACTGCCTCAAGGGTTATTGAACAAGGAGATCCACTGTCTCCTACTATCTTCATTCTTGCTATGGATTATCTTTCTCGACTCTTAAATCAAA